CCCGCTGCTAGCTTTAATATCCGCAGTGGCTTCAATATCCACCATAAAGAACGGTTAGTCCACTCCAACAAAACCGATGTTGAAGGCAGATATTGCAGAGACTTCTCCATCGTCTATGAACTAACCCAAATCATCGGAGAACCTACCCGTGTCCCAGATACGAGGGTCATCAGACGAACCTCCTTGACCTCTTCCTAATCTCCTGCCCTGATAAATGCTCAGGAAAAGTCTTACCTCCACTAGTCACATCAGACCATTCCATAATGAGTGTCCAGATTGGTGGCAAAACCTAAGGCATCTCCTCGTGTACCGTTCCATAGTACGATTTTTCGCTAATCGAAAGCAGACTGGGACGCCTGCGTTGACTGCTAGGAGCCCTAGTGTCTACCAAGAGTCATTCCTCAGACCAACCTTCTTTTTGATCTACATAAATGATTTGCCTAAGAATATACTCAGATCTTTTGTAAACATCTATACCGATGATACGGCTATATTAGAAACGATCATCTTCAGGGCTAAATTACTAAATTCTTGTAACTGCAATAAAATCTGCATTCCATTGTGATAATAATATTTAAAAACACGCGCGAACACGATCTATGCTAGTTGTTTTAGAATTAGAATTTAAAATTTATCCGTCGCAGTTATGGAATTTTTTGCAAAAGAAGCGTTTCAATATAAGGGAATTGGTAGAAATCTAAAATCACTATCACAACGAAATACAGATTTTATCGCAGTTACAATAAGTTTGTCTTTGTAATTTACCCCTGAAGATGATCTTAGAAAAGACCGAAAGTACTTGGGTTAGAAAAAAACTACGGCGACTTTCTTAACGAATTTCATCTTAACATTAATAAGCTGAACAGACAAGTGGAAAAATCAGTATTAAAATAAGTAGACACAATATATCTATATTATTTAATGAAACAAACATACACACAAATGCGCGCGAGCACATATATATGTACAAGGGTAAGTCAAAAGTTATCTGCACTTTCGCGATAACATCTTTAGGTTTGACACACTGCCTTCAGCTCTTGCAGGAAGGAGGAACAAAGAGCAGTGATCCGAATCTGCAGAGAATATGCTAGCTCATCGATGGTAACTTGCCTGTTCACTATTACTATTTCTCGAACTTGCTGAATCTTCTCGGCAATGGTGGACGTTGACGGGCGTCCTGCACTTTCTTCGTGCATCACGCTTGTGCGGCCACTTTTGAACTTCTCGATCCACTCATACAGGCTTCTACGCGGTAGTTCACTGCGGCCGTATTGTTAAAAGCTTCCGATGAATTTCCGCCTGTATAACATCTTTCGACCAGAAAAATAAGTTCACTGATCTGTGTTTGTTGCTGATCACTGATCAGATCACTGATCTGTGTTTGAAGCTCCTTGGTACGCACTGCTAGCGGAGCGGCCATGTTTACATTGTAACAGCTGCAAGTAAAGTGGCGCTATCAAGCTCAAACTTCGATCACGTGATCGCAATAATAGCACCTATAAGCATGCACGAGCAGAAGGTAGGCTGACAAATCTAAATATATGTTATGGCAAAAGTGCGGATAATTTTTGACTTACCCCCGTATATGTATGCACACACACGCGCGCTCGTAGACACATTCATTCTCTCTCTCTCACAGAAACGCACGCACGCACGCGCGCGCGCGCGCACACACACACACACACACACACACACACACACACACACACATATAGGTATCTTCAACTTCATACACACTTTTGACACGTAAAATCTGACACATACACACACAGCATACACATAAACACACCTATTTTATATAACTCGTCGCTAATCCATATGAATGCACATTGGATGTTTCTAATTTCTACACAAAATATAAAAGCTATTTTTTAATAAAATATACCGGATACTTTTTGTTTTCACAGGGATAAAAGAAGATGTTATATATTTGATTATGAAAAATTGTTATATATTTGATAGTTCTGATTTAACACTCTCCCATTTCTTGAATATTGCTATTGGAATTAATTGGAATTAATTTAAAATAAAGATGTATTTAAAGAATCGAAAGATGTACACTTTAATACCATTTTCAAGTGGGAACATTTTTAAAAATAATTTTATTTATTTTATTTTTATTTTACAACTGTGTGAGTTTTATTCTACGGATGATTAAAAAAATATAATTCTGAAATATGTCCCTTGGCTCTTCAAAAATTATTGAAAGTTTTGATCGATATTATTTTTGTTTATTCAATAATGTTTTTGCTGTCCTTATATTAATGTTAGAGATATAGAAATGATAAATCCCTCGGTTAATGAGTTGTATTCTCACAGTTTTTTTTTTTAATTTCTAGACTTCCATATATTTTGGTTGTAAGATTAGTATTGATCGTATTGTGAAGCAAGGACATAACGCGCTGTGGAAAATGCCATTTTTATTATAGTTTTTGCAAAAAGCAATTAATATTCTTATAAAATCTAATTAATTAATTCTTAAATTTTCTCTTTTCTTGGAAAGAAATATTTGGAACAGATACTAGATTTTAAGAGATTTTTAAAACGTTTAAATTTTTCTTTTATCGACGTCTACCAAGCTCGCTAATCGATCGGTTCCGAAGTGAATTTGTTTTTACATTATTGCTCTAAAAATGTCTAAAATCTTTGTTTAAAGGGGCAAAATAATTTCTTTTTTTATGGATTCATTTTTTCGCTATCGTCTTTCAAATAAAATCAAAATTTAACTTCAAAGAAGATATTTAAGTTATTTAAAATGCCTTTTTATCTTTTTATAACTTTTATGGAGGTACTTTTATATATATATATATATATATATATATATATATATATATATATATATATGAAGAAAAATATATACGGAAAAAAACAAAACGAAAATCCTTATATACGATTATGTTGTTTTAATGTTAATATGTCAACGTCTGACGTTTCGGTCTAATAAACCATCTTCAGGACATATTCATAAATATAACATTATCAATACAACATGACAAAGACGATGTACATTAGAACAAACTTATAAAACTTTCAGTTATTGTTTGGATAAGTCTTGTTTGCCACATGTCAGATGCTATATAGGTTTTAAATCAGAATTTTCATTTTCCTAGAGCGATGTCCTAACAAGGACTAAGGGTGTCTTTCTTTCTTAGTGGTTTAACCACGCGGCTGGACACCAATCTGTTAGTTCTATGTCCCGGCGACACACCCATATTTTACGCTGGACATCGGAGTCAACCGTTCGTTGTCAAATGGAACTTTTATTGTTATTATTATTATAATAATTTCTGTTGAAATGAATAATAATAACATTCAATCGATAAATAAGAAAAGAATAAAAGAAGTTATCGACAAATGTCGTTAAAACGGTTTGAATGATAAATGATAGGGAAAGAAATCGACTATACTGAAAGATGGAAAAATGAAAGGTGTTAAAGAACGTGTGAGATTTGAGTTTAAGAGAAGTGGTGTGTTGTTCAACCAACAACGCTTGAAAGCAAAAACTAAGACGATTGTGCAAACTGTTCGTGAACCTCCCTTTGCAGACGATTGTGCAAACTGTTCGTGAACCTCCCTTTGCAGACGATTGTGCAAACTGTTCGTGAACCTCCCTTTGCAGACGATTGTGCAAACTGTTCGTGAACCTCCCTTTGCAGACGATTGCGCACTTGTAACCCGCAACCTTGAGGATATGCAATGGATCGTTAACAAATTCTCTCATGCATCTAAACCTTTCGGTCTGACCATCCACATGAATAACGGAACAGCCCATCAGTAACCAACCCCAAGCTGTTGCCCACGCTATGTTTTCTCTTTCACCTATCTTGGTCCCATTGTATACAAAGATGCTAAAATGGACAAAGAAACTGAGTGCATGATTGGAAAAGCTAGTTCTGTCTTCAGTAATCTTTACTACATTGATATTTCATAGCTGTTAGATATTCTTTTCCTGTTTCTGTTTTCTTCAGAAAATTACCTGTTTCTTAATATTTTACTTAGCTTTTGGAAGGCATCTTTCGCTATTTCAAGACCGCTTCGGATTTTGGTGTCACATTTTCCGTCCTCTGTTGATATTTACAAAATGACGTCATTTCCTATAAAGCAAACTTTATCGTCACATGCAAGAAGTATTCTGATTTTTAGTTCTGAAATGTAAAAATATCCGAAGAAAACTAGCACAATGCATAGCGCTAAGAATGTCGGACATATTTAAGTAATTTTTCAGTGATTATGTTTTGGCATAAGTAATTAAAGGTTTGTATGTATGCAATCAACTCTGTTGTCACATGTAAGTATGGATTCTACATTTTAGATCATTAAAAGAAGAAATATCCAAGGAACGCTAACCATAAAACAAAAAAACAAAAAAAAAAAAAAAAATGACGGCCATTTAAAATTTATTTTGCAGTTGCATTGACTATATTTTCGGTATGAGTCATTTAGGATTTTTATCTTCATAATTAATTTTAGCCAATTAAATTCCTTAGAAACGACACAGGCATTGAATTTGATTTTTTAAATTAAAAACAAAAGCAAGCTTTTACGGGTAAAATAAAATAAAGGAATATCATCAAATAATTAATATGCAATAAATATCCACCAGTCGAACTTCTTCATATTACAGATATTCGTAAAACCAAGAGTGTAAAAAACAAAACGTCTGCACTTGATGTAATTTAGTATTATGCATTCGCTGCAGGCATTCGTCATATTTATCATAAAATAAATCAGAGGACGAAACGCGTCGGCTTACTCTTTTTCTTTATATATATATATATATATATATATATATATATATATATATATAGTGTAACCCGGATATAAGAGACCAGAATATAAGAGAAACCCGGATATAAGAGAGATTTTCTCTGGTCCCAAAGGGTTTCCATACTTACCTAAACAAAATAAACCAAACCCGGATATAAGAGAAACCCGGATATAAGAGAAACCCGGATATAAGAGACTTCTTCTCCGGTCCCGACAACTCTCTTATATCCGGGTTACACTGTATATTGAGAGAGAGAGAGAGAGAGAAATAAAGATGGAAAATTAACAGACTGGGATAGATACAGAGGAACATAATGAGATAGATACATAGATAAATAGATAATAGACAAACTGAGATCGATCGATCGATAGATAGATATTGAATAGTCTGAAATAGATGGATAGATATGCATATAATATCAATAATTTCGTTCGTTCTCTTTTCAACCCAAATAAACCAGGGTTCATTTTATAATTTCCAGGAATGAACAGCATCAAACAACTGATAAACAATTGTTTGAAGCTTTAAACTGAAATTACAAAACATTTTTCATCATTTTGTGTCTGACATCGTTACTTGTTCTTTCAATAAATTGTATTATATAAAAATCCTATTTTTTTTTTAAAATCAGATTTACCCCAAGCAAGGTAGTAAAGCCACTAATATACAAGAGTTTACTGGGTGTGAAAGAATTAAAAAGCAGAAACATTACTAAGGAGCGAGAGCAATAGAAAAGTAATCAGGAAGACAGTAGATGATGATTGACATTGCGTATAAATCTTTGAGGATTAAAGTTGGTCGGAAAGCATGAAACCGGAAGAGAGTTCCACAAGCGAGACGTGTGAAAAAGAAAACTCTCAGCATAGAATTACTGGTTACATCTAGACATTTTAATTGTGAAATGATGAGACCTTGCCGCCAATCTAGTACTGCGCTTAAGTACTTAAAGTCTAGGGACCATAAATTACAAGATACTTTTTTTTACTATTTTGTAACTGTCAGTGTTATTTATTCTTTCAGTAGATTGTATTAAATAAAAAAAAAAAAACTTTTTTTTTTTTTTAAATCGGGTTTAAGACCTTAAAACAATAATCTTTGTCAAATTTATTTTTCAGTCTTTATGATGGTCGATACTTGATCTATCTCTTACTGTTACATTCCCGGGCAACGCCGGGCTCTACTGCTCGTTTATTTATAAATTTCGTGACTTTTTTGATTCATGAACTGAATTGTTACGTGATATCTGCCCTTCTGTATAGCAGCGAATGCTGAACAATCTCCTCAAGGGTGAAGAAGAGGCTTGAAGTAACAGAAATGTGGTTCTAAAGAAGGATGCTGAGACCTAACATGGGAGCAACTTAGAAGTTTTAAAGAAATTGGAAACTAAACGGTAACATATACTTAACATCAGGAAGAGACAAATGACCTGACTAGGGCACATAATGAGGAAAGAGAGCTAGAAAAACTTTTTGTAAAGGAAAGAGTACTGAACTGTTACGTAATAACAGACCACCTATATGGCAGTCAATGCTGGACAGTATCCTGAAAGATGAAGAAGAGATTTGAAAGAATAGAGACGTGGTTCTACAGATGCTGAAGATACAATGGACCGAATATGTGAGCAACAAAGTAGTTTTTGAGAAAATGGAAACAAAAAGGAAATTTATACTTAACATCAGGAAGAGGCAGTGGAAAATTCTGCGGCATGTCATGAGGAAGGAAAGCTTGGAAAACCTGATACTCAGAGGACAGATAGAGGGAAAGAAGGACAGAGGAAAGCAGTGTGAAACATATTTGATGAGCTTGAGTAAACGGATGGTAGAACAGGTTTTAGGAGAAATAACGAAAAGATAAAACTTATTAAACGCTACAATGGACAGAAAAATGTGGAGGGCCATGATCGCTTACGTCCTGAACGGACACGGCACATGAAAGAAGTAGATCTTTCTTGGGATAAAGTTACTTTTATAATTTTAAAAAGCAGAATTCTTTCTTAGATCAAAAATAGAATTCTAAGTGAAACTCTCAGGTTACTCAAGCAAAAATATAATACATGCAATTGTAAAATTATTCAAATAAGGCTGTCATATTTTGACGGTATGGGTCATACCAGCTTTCTTTTGAATATTTTTACTTTTAATTCTTTCTTACGTACAAAAAATAGAATTGTATTAGATTCACTTCTCTGCTTGTTTTCCTTTCAATCCATTTAAAATCCCGGTTGCTTTCATGATTTGCAGAACCAAATTGCTTATATCAAATCAAAAAAGAGTTTCTCCTTGTTAATCCCTGTTTCAGACGCCTACTCAGGCACATTTACGTTTGTTCAACAACCAAAAAGCTGACCCGTGGCTTGTACTGCAACTCTGCCGAGTGGATTGATTACAGTTTCTGGGAGAGAGCACATCATATGGCGTGATCAATAGTTTGAACAAGGCCAAACCCTCGGCCACGATGACTTGTGACTTCGCGCCAGCACAGCCATCGATAGCTTTGAATAGATCAGTCTACCCAATTACCCTCACAAGGTATGGTTTTCTGGCACTTTCTGACAGCGTCGCACGAGAGAGTCGCCTCCTCAGGCCAATAGCATCAAGCCATCTCCCTGACAAGTCGATTATAGTATGATTTGGACCCGGGTCTAAATGCCGAGAATGAATATTTATAAGTAATCAACATGTAATAATTTCCCACCTAACTCACTTCTTCATGTCACCTGTTTTTATTGATTTGTTGATTCGTTTTCTATGGCTAATCAACCCTTTGCAAGTTATTTAAAGCCAGAAAATATTTTTAGATTGTAAGAATTTTTCTTTTTTGGAAATAATGCTTTAGTAATACGGCTCTTACTAATTAACCCATAGATGAGAGGGGAGAAGTTGATTAATATCTTTCCCGAGGATATTTGCGCGTAAGTAGATATAACTTTTGAACAGACTGCTCGGTTTGAACTCTCTTCCTACGGGCGGGAGGAACCCGAAGGAGGCTACGCCGAAGGGCGGAGTCTCCTTCGGGGAGGTAAAACCGGCCCTGAACCCGTTTATACGGGTTCAAATGGGCTATTTTTTGGCCGAGCCTAATGGCTCGAGAATGCCCACGTTAAAAAGGCCTTGTGCCACATGACACCCTCGTGGGGGGGGGGGTGACTCAATATCGTAAGTAGATATAACGAACACAATTGGAACTCGGCTATACGATTAAAAATTCCGAGCCATTATCCATTACGCCACGATCACATTTAAGCAGTTACTCATCTGATCAGACTCGACGTTGTTTAACTTCGGTGTCGTTCCCGTGTAGATCTAACAGCACAATATGAGAAACCTTAAAGAGAAATGACCGACTTCGTCTGAAAAAGCGGTCTAGAATAACGATGACGACAACAACTTTTATGAAAACATTAGTGATATTGTTACATATGTCATGCGATTACTTATAACGTTTCTTTTATCGTTATATCAGAAATTATATTTATTCATGATTTGTCAAAGTGCATCATATTTAAATAAGAATGCAAATCTTGGATTGATGCCGGTTTATTCTTACTGCTTGAACATTTATTCTGAACCTCAACTTCATCTGGAAGTATACTTTCGATAGCAAAATATACAAGTAATAATAGCCGCCATTTTAAGTGGTTTTCATTGTGACGTAACATCAAATAAATGCTAAAAAGGAAAATATTAAAACGTGATATAAATAATACATGAAATAGGTTTATGAGTAATGGTCTGTAAAGAATACCCGCAATAAAGCCTAATAGAAGATACAAATAATAATAAACTAACGGAAGTATAGATAGTTTTTAGATGTGTATTTGAAATAACATCTAAAGCAAGAGTTTGTACAAATAAAAATTCTCTTCATAAATGCTAATATATAATAATATTAATAATATAGTCGAGTCATAGACAGTCTTTAGATGAGTACGTGAAATCATCTTTGGAGTGAATAAATTCCTTCTCTGTTAACTTTGATCTTCAATAATTTAAATGCAATGTTAATCTTTATCTTCTATCTTAATACTTGTTCTTTTACTGTTCTCACATCTTAATAGTGTTTCTTCTTATATTCTCCAACACTCAGTAATAATTTGCATCTTAGCAATGTTATTGCCTTATTTAGGATGAAATTATTAATATATATATATATATATATATATATATATATATATATCAAAGTTGATTTTTTGCTTCTCAGTTAGTTTTGATCTTCCATAATTTAAATTCAGTCATCTCTCTTAATTTCTGTTCTTTTATTGTTCCCTCTTCTTAATAGTGTTTTTCTCATATTCTCCAATACTAAGTAACCCATTACGTCTTAGCGGCTTTATTGCCTTACTTGTGGTGAAATATATATATATATATATATATATATATATAATTATTTATTTAAAATATGATTCCAAAACGCGACATAAGAAGTCTCATGTTTCAAAACAAGAGCCGAAAACTTCAATATAATTATTTAAATTAAATTGAGTTGAAGTGAGCTCTGTTCCATCTTCAAGCGAAATTTTTATTGGAATAACGTATATATATATATATATATATATATATATATATATATAAAGTTGATTTCTTGTTTCACAGTCAATTTTGCTCTTCAATAATTTAAATTCAATGTCAATCTTTATCTTCTTTTTTTAAATTTCTGTTCCTTCATAGTTCTCTCCCCTTAATAGTGTTTTCTCATATTCTTTAACATTCAGTAAACCCCCTTGCATCTTAGTGGCTTAATTGCTTTGTTTGGGATGACATGGTTAAAAAAAAATGAGAGAGAAAGTTCCGGTACGCTTAGTTCTGTGTTGTTTTTCATTGGTCAGGCAGACTTCACGTATCTTTGTATTGTGGTGTTAACGTGCGTGCATTTGTGCGCGTGTGAACGTTTTGATTTCGCGAGCATTTTTGTGTCGGTCTAGTATGGCCCGTGTGTATAATTCCTAAATATGGTAGTGAGATGTAGGCGTGCCTGTATGTTTGTGTATTATATTTCTAGTTGGGCTTGCGGGATTTGGATTTATAAAGTGTGTGAGTGTGTCTAGTGAGCATTTTTATTTGTTTGGTAGTGTCCGTGTGTTGGTTGGGAGATGTTTACAGTGGAAGTGAAAGAATTAGGTTAGATCGGCTGCATTTATGCGGGTCTTAGATTAAGAATGGGTTTTATGAAAGCAGATGATATGAAAAAATGAGTATATTTATTAGTATCTCTACTAAATATTTTCTGCGTAGTAAAGCATGATCCTTTCTTATTAGTGTGGCGTTTTCAAAGCGTTATGGCCCGTTTTAGTTTATGTGTCATGAGATGTTCAGTGAGTTGTCAAAATGTCAAAACTCTTACGTTCCTAGATGCGTTCTTTTAGGTTTCTGTAGGTTTCACCTGTATAGCTCTTCTGGCGTTGCAGGCAGTTAATATGATAAATCCCAGCATCTGGTGTGATGTTGCTTTTATGTTTCTTGCTAACTAGATCTCTGATCCTCTTGGAGGTGGTGATTATGATACTAGTGTCGAAGATGGAGATAAAAACGCCAATTATAGATTGCTGACTGATTGATTCTGTTTTGTGAATGAATCGAAACATTTCACCGTGGCTAAATCTTTTGAACTGGAGTATTTTAATGTCTAATAAACAAATTTTTGTTTTATACAATTAATATTTAAATTATTTTGGTATAGGATTAATTTATGCATTGTATATTTTAAATAAGAGGAGGTTATGAATTTAAACTTGTTATTTTATTTTTTTAACATTTTTTTTGTATTGTATGTTGGCTTGGGGAAGGAGCAGTTCTTTCAGGAATGAAGATATTTAAAATAATCCGAGATGATTATTAGACATTAAATTACGCCACTTAACATCCCCCATAATTTACCTAGACTTTTCAGTTTTCCTGATGAATATCTATGAAAATTTTGAAAAACTAATAGAATTTTCACTTTTGTTTAGAAATACTTCTCGCAAATTAAAATCCTTACATTTGATTTAAGTTCATCAGTGGGCGAAACGCGTCGGCTAAGATAAGTTTTTCTTTTGTATTTATTCATATATATATATATATATATATATATATATATGTGTGTGTGTGTGTGCAGGTTGATTGTTTTTCATTTTGTCGACTGCACAGTATAATAGAGTCAGTTGTGTAACGTCTTTGAGAAAAAGAGCACCATGACGCAATTCACTTCGCCAGAAATTTGTAAACGGCATGTTGTACAACATGGTATTCACACTGGAAGCCCTAATACGAACATTTCAGTGTGTTTGGGTGTCAAGCTGAGGACTGCACATGTTTATTTAATGTAAATGCCTTCAGCGGCAATTATGGCTTCAATATGAGATCGGAATCATTGAGACATGCATGCATCACATTAGTCTGTGTTGATATTGAACATTACTCGGGCAAAGGCGGCTTAGAGATAGATAGATAGATAGATAGATAGATAGATAGATAGGAAAGGAACAGACTGGGATAGATAGATAGATAGATAGATAGATAGATAGATAGATAGATAGATAGATAGATAGATACGAAAGGAACAGACTAGTATATATATATATATATATATATATATATATATAGATAGATAGATAGATAGATAGATAGATAGATAGGAAATGAACAGACTGAGATAGATAGATAGATGTCATATGAACAGACTTATATAGATAGATATATATAGAGAGAAAGATAGTGAGATAGATACATACATAAATAGATAGATGGATAGATAGATAGATATGAACAGACTGAGATAGATAAGTAGATAGATGAATAGGTAGAGACTGAGAGAGAGAGAGAGAGAGAGAGCGAGTGAGAGAGAGAGATGCATATATTATAGAGCTATGCAAGCTTCTATCAAAATTATTTAATTAGGAAAAAATGGAAGTTAGTCGAAATGAATTATTTCAACATTGGTCAGTGTATATTTCTTCATAAAATTAAGTGTACATCGTTTTTATATTGTACAGAATAAATGAGACACAAAAAAGTTTCTTTATTGAACAACGTGTGTATTTCATAAGTTCACAACAAATGAAAGAGAATGAATTTAATTCTAGAAATATTTATTCAATTCTAGAAATATTTATTTCAATAATCGATACTTATATCAATAATCGAGTAACAGTTTAGTAATATTTCGATGTTTATTGCTCCATCACTGCCAGAAAATTTATTTGAATTGGCTTTTAACAGAAATTTGACAAAAGCTCGCTTTTTGAAAGCGAATTTTCATATTGTTAGTTTTTTGTTAGCCAATACATTACCCAGGGTGGCCAATCTGTTTCGACACCATTCGTAACAAATCCTTGGAAGTATTTAAACATATTAATTGATCTAGTGTGGGCACTTCGACGTGTTGTAATGGTTAGCAAGATGGTCACGCTAGATCAATTACGACTGAAAAGTGAGTTCGATCCTCACTATGTGCCCCATACATTCGGCTTTGTGCCACATCTAAGCTACGCTTAGAAAATAACCAATCGTAACAAATCCTTGGAAGTATTTAAACACACTAAAAGATCTAGTGCGGGCACTTCGACGTAGTGTGATGGTTAGCAAGATCAGTTATGCATGAATAGTGAGTTCGCGAGATCAATTATGAATGAATAATGAGTTCGATACTCACTGGGTGCCCCATACTTTCGGCCGTGTTCTAACCTATGCTTAGAAAATCACCATTAACAGATCTAGTACAGGACTCGCGATATTTTGGTTTGAAGGTGTGGTGCCTGGAAAAGGAAGCAAAGAACAATCACAACGGAGATAGTTGGGATGACATAATTCTGTGGTTATCAACTGATGAATGGCAGAAACTAAATAAACTCGCCGAAGATCGCAAGAAATGGCGGGAAATAATTGGTGTTAGATCGACATTTGCCATTTTGTAGGGTACACGTTTAATTTCATAGATCAACCGGGAGCAATTGGTTGTTAATTTTTCTTTCCCTATTTCGCAAGACAGATAATAACATGGTAAATATAACCTACTTTATTTACCCTGTTTACATGCGGGCTATTGTCCTCATCTTTGTTGTAGTTATCGCAATGTTTTCGTCTTTGTAAAGTAACTGACCATGGTTAAATGTAATTGGCAGAAATGCCCAACAGAAATAACAAAGTTTGCAATAAACAATAACAAGAGAAAGTAAAGGGCAAAAATAATATCAAGCACGTAAACAATATATGCAAGGCAAAGCAACAGTAATAAGTCAAAAAGTTTACAAACTAAGAAAAAGGGGATACAGACAAGCGATCGCAGCGATTTGGCTTCAAGACAAGAACAGATCTAAGTTTGATGAGACCGAGAAGTGACCTATCTTATTAGTTTGAAAAATGCGGTGGACGCAAAGTGGGTGATCACTGTATATTTCCTTTCTTTTTCCAGCATGAATCCATATATTTTATCTATAAAATTGGAGAGGGGAAGTTTTTGTAATCATTTTCATAAACTGGAACCAACAATCTTTGTGCCTTTCGGCCATCATTCGGTGTAAGTCTAGGGATTTCACGTCATTTTTCGTTTCATTTTTCGTTTCATTTTCTGTACGGCAAAAAATACGATATGGGAGCTGTTAATAAAGAAAGACAAATACCTACAAGTAATCAACAGCAGCAGCAGCAGCTGTAACAAAAGAGAAACGCTTCAGTGTGTGCAGTGAAATATGAAAAACACTCATCAGCAGGTAGGTTAGGTTTAAGTCTCCAAGTTCTCCACAGTGAATTGTCCTCCTGGACAATTGCCTAGTAGAATCGTTACGTGTTTTATCTTGAGCGTACGTATTTGTAAGCATGGAGAGAAGACGTACGTGTATGTGTGTTAACTCACTGCAAGTACAGTATAGAATGTAATAATGAAACTTTTATTACAGCTGCTGTAGCAAAAGAGAAATGCTTCAGTAAGAGCAGTCAAACATGTCAAACAGCTGTAACAGCAATCATCAGGCAGGTTATGTTTAAGTCTTCAACTTCTGCACAAAATATTGTCCCAATGGATTAAACCGTTGGTGGGTGAATTTGATGATATAGTAATTGTGATTTAATCATTAGGCTGTGTACTAGTGTTGGGGCGCACCCACCTAACTAGTAATGGACTGGTCCCTCTTATATAAGTCAGCTCTGGAGAGAGTGAGGGGAGCGTCAGAGAGAGAGAGAGAGAGAGAGTCAGCGTGAGCAGTCCAGATAAGCTTACCCGGTACATACCGTTGGACTATAGACTTTGGATATTGTTTCGTACTAACCAACCTTCGTTCTACTAATCACTCTATTGTTAATTGCTTTTATGAATATACCAGTATTTTCCTCTACAACTGTGTTTGTCTTAATTCATACACCGACACGCGGGAAACTCACAACATCTCAACAACTAGGCAATTGGACTCAGTGGAAACAGAGCGAGTAATAATTGAGTAGTACTAGAATAAATGGCCGAGATACCTCCATAGATGGGCAGTGGAACGAGAACCTTCTACCCCCGTAGATTAAATAAAGGGATTAGTTCAGAATTCCCTGTAGGTTACCTTGATCGAAAGGATTCAGCCGTCGAAACGTTGTGATAACAACAAAGATGAGGATAGTAGTTTGCATGTATATATAGTGTAAATGATGATAAATTCTCATCCCTGAAATTCAGATAGAAAATATATCCTAAATTTTTAAACATCCAATATGTACACTTTTATTTTAGAAAGAATATTTTTTTTTAAAATTATATTTATTTTTTAAAAGATTTTAGACGACATTCTTTTTCTTCTAATTTAATTGATGTTTTCACATTTGTTCATAAAAGCAAGTATTGAATTAATCCCATGAAGATGTAAAAATAAACATCGAAATATATAACAAAATTTAGAATTTAGACTGTCATTTCGATCTTGGTTGCTTGTAAACTTGGTCTGAGATGTTTCATTTTATTTAGATTTCAAGTCATCAAGAGATTTATTTTTTTTTAAAACACAGAATACAATTGATTATCGTCGCGTTCATAAAATAAAAACTTTCACAAAACAAGGATGAAATGAAGATCAAATTTAGCCACTATTGTCAATTGGAATTGCAGTTCTTTGGCAGTTTTCTAGTTGTGTATGTTTATTAAATACGAATTAAAATATAAAATTAATATTGATATTGCAATTTGAAGAATTAGAGCAACACGAATTAAAATAATAATCCAAGGAAAATTCTGGCATGAGAAAGTACTGAATCGTTTCTTCGCTTCTAACAAGACCAAGAAAAAAAACGGTTTCACCATAAAACAATAAACATCTGCAATATCTATGCAATCAGAATAATTCAAATTTAAACTTTAACAAAGAAGAAAACTTTTTGACTGATCTACAATTAGATACAACCATATATCTTTATATACATAAACACATTTAAATTAAAACAAACAAAGTCTTTCATTTTAGTAAGTTCAACAACCATAGATGGCCGTAAATGAAAATCCGTCCATCTACGACATTAACAATTCTTTCTCTGTTTAAAATAATCTGTCAATTTCTGTTCGACTTTCACAATATTTTAAAGGGACACTTCATAAACTGCATGGTGAACACCGTGATGCGGTCCGAATAAATGCGTTATAAATATTACCACCATCACAAAATCGAAGTCAATAATATTAAATAAAATACATACGTACATATATACGCTGGACGGACAGACAAATATGGTTTGAGATAGCATTGTCTTTTAAACAACATTGTCAGAAAGTGTTCTTAACCATCCCAGTTTCAGTCATAATTTTGTTTTAATACTCATTTTTATGTAACTGTCAGATGGTGAACAAAACCAACCCCGAAACTTAATTCTCTCGCAAACAATGCTCTCAAAAATATTTAACTACAATTTAACAATATTTTTTTTCTTTTTTTGATCCGTTCTCTCCGCCAACAAACATGGCTTTTCGTATCATCATTGCTTTATATACTGTAAAGTAGAATTATATGAACACTTTCAGCAGTAGTGGTGTCATCTTCATTGAATCGTCTGTCGACAAATGGAAATAAAGACAGCCGTCGACCATGTTAGAAATACCGTTTCAACAGAAAATATAATTTTTTTTTTTCACTTCTTTCGGAAACGTAAAGAAATCTGTCTATATTTCTGAGATGAGGCATTGTAACTATTTCTACTATTTGCATTCTTCAGACAGTTATCCTCATCTTTGTTGTGATATTCACGACGCTTCGGCCGTTGTACGTTCCGGCATTTTTCAGAGAATTGGAATTTCGAACAACCATATATCTTTATAAATATTATATAATAAACATATTTGAATTAAAACAAACGAAGTCTTTCGTGTTCCAAGGACACATGGCCCAGTGGGTAAAAGCGTTGGTTGAAGTAATCCAGTGAATTGACCCAAAGAGTTGTGAGTTCAATACCTGGTTACAGCAGAGGTGAGTTGAGATAATAAAGGGAAATAACTGAAACTGAATTATCCTGAAGAGGCATGGCACATAGAACTAGAACAATCTACCTCTGTGGAAGAAAGTCAGAGCATACAACGGTCGAAACGTCGTGAATATGACAGCAAAGATGAGGACAACAGTCCGAACGATGGCAATAGTGTAAATAATTACAATAACTCATCTCAGAAATATATAAAGATATTGAAGAAGGCCGGAGCGTACAACGGCCAAAACGTTGTGAATATGGCAATAAGGATAAGGAGAACAGTCCAAACGATGTAAATAGTGTGAATAGTTACCATACCGCATCTCAGAAATATAGAAAGATGTTGAAGATGGCCGGAGCGTACAACGGCCGAAACGTCGTGAATTTGGCAATAAAGATGAGGACAATAGTCCGAACAATGTAAATAGTTACAATACCTCTTCTCAGAAATATAGATCTTGAAGAAGGCCTGAGCGTACAACGGCCAAAACGTTTGGAATATGACAATAAAGATGAGGAGAACAGTCCAAACAATGTAAATAGCGCAAAGAGGGTGCGTTGATTCAGAATGATTTTGAGATTATAGTATTAAATGATATCTTTTCTTTTTTAAACGTCAACAGTTAATATTCTTTATGTAAATTAGTCAACAGTTATTTTCATCTAATATCGTCATGTTCAGATAAGCCGGGTTTGAAGCGAAGTTAATGTGCTTAGGGCCAGCACCAGGATTCTGCATATTCCTCAGCGGTATATTGTTGGAGTCAGTGCTTTCTGTAATTAACCCATTCGCTGGGGTGTTGTCCTCAGTCTCGTCCTGACACTTCGATTGCTGGTAACTGTAGAACTCGATTTCTTCTTCCGGAGTATCTTCGGAAACTGGCGATGACAGTAACGGAACTTTAGATGGTGATGGATGGAGAATCGAATCGTAGGTGTGATTCTGAGGTACTGCGTCATAGTGCGGATCTCCAGAGTGGAAATTTGCTTTCGATTTCCCGTCGATATGTGTATTTTCTGATTTCTGATGCTGTTGGCGGAGAGACTGATGGCGTTTAGTAAAGTGAGTGTAATGGTTTTGATAGTGGTTTGAATTCGGTTGGCTGTGATGACGATGAAGTAAATTATGGTGCAGTGGCAAGTGATCGTCGCATTTTGTGTGGTTTCGATTCTTAGAGTTATCCTGATCACTGGTCAAATCGCGGCTGTAATCATTGGATTTGCTTTTGATAGAGGTGCCACTGTAAGTCATTCCGTTAACCTCGGCGTTTTTGTAAGGATTCCTCGGCTCATCGCTTGTGTTGATGTCTACGAGCAAACCTCTGCAGTTCGGATTGTCAATGCTTTCGTTGGTGTTGGGTTTTGAGTCAAGGCAACTGATCATGTCACCAGTACAACCGTTGGGTAGTTTGACCACGTCGCCTTTTGCGATGCTGGTTTCGTTATCGTAAGGCAGGCGACCGTCTTCGTTGAAATTCAACGAATCCAGACTGGAAAGCGAATAAATCGAAGATGTCGAACTTTTTTTTCTTGCTTCTCGTAAGTGGCCTTTCTCAACATCGCTTAGACATACTAAATTACACTTGCTGGATAAGGAATGAGTGAATGTAGGCAGTTTGTAACTGGATGTATTAGGATCCTGCGAAAGAGAAACAGAAAAAAACAATGAAACTCTGTTAAAATTTGACATCAGAAAAAAAGCTAATTAATTTCAAACTATTGATAAATGATTTGCTATTCCAACACGGATGTTCATTTTGCTTAATCAGGAACCTTCATCTACCAAGAGTATATTTTATGCCTTTAACTTAAATGAACTTTTCTGGAAAGTTTTTTTGTGTGTGTGAGTGTGTTGTTTTGTGTGTATGTTGTTTATTCTGTGGGGAGGTGCGTGTGATTGAGCATGCGACTATTTTGTGTATGTTTTTGTGCGAATGCGTGTTTTTGTGCGTGTGTGCTGCTTTTTGTCAGTTTTTTTGTATATTTTTTGTGTTTTTTGGGCGTATGTGTCTTGTTTATGCTGTGTGAGTTTTTGTATGTGTGCTGTTTTTTGTGTCTTGTTTTGTGTGTGTGTTGTTTATGTTTATTTGCATTTTAGTGTGTGTATGTTTTTTGCGTTAGTGTGTCTTTTTGTGTGCCTTTTTTGGTGTATTTTTCTGTGTCTGTTGCTTTTGTGCGTATGTGTGCCTTGCTTTTTGCGTTGTTTTTGAATGTGCTATTTTTGTGCCTTATTTTTGTGTTTTTTGTCTGATTTTTCTTTTTATATTTTTGCGTGTGTCTTTTGTTTATGTGTGTTTTTTGTGTATGTCTGCTTTGTTTTGTACGTATTTTTGGATGTGTGCTGTTTTTGTTTATTGTATTTACGAGTATTTTTGTGTGTGTTTTGGTGTGTTCATTTCTTTTGTATTTTCGTGTGTATTATTTGCGTCTATTTTTCTGTGTTGTTTTTGTGCGTATGTGTGTCTTGTTTTTTTGTATGTGTTCTGTTTTTTGTCTTGTTTTTGTGTCTGTTTTTATGTGTATATTTTTTTGCGTGCTTTTTGTGTGTCGGGTTTTTCTTCTGTGTATGCGCTGATTTTGTTGGGGTTTTGTTTTTTTTTTGTTTGCGTTTTGTAATCGGCGTCATATCTAAAAGGTTGAAAGACCTGAGTGTTGACACTCTTTACAAGACACAATAGCTACTTGAGGTAGAGGGTTACGTAGTTAGCAGCATATTTTATGGGGATATGAGGGGGATTTAATGTCGGCTGAAATTTATAAAATATTTCTCTTAAAACAATTTTTCAGGAAAATAAATTTCTCAAGACCAGTATATGTTATTGATCTTTCCAGTATTTCCTTCCTAACCTTTGGCAGAATCGGTCCTCGACGCATGTCGGTTGAACACCAGCATGAATAAGGAAATGAACTCATCAAAGCTTTTCCCGTTTTCCGTTTCATGTTACCTTCTCCACTGTTTCGATTACTATTCTCTTAGAGTGGTTTCCAGCGAAAAGCCAGAGATCCCATTCTTAACTTGCTATTTAAGCGGTGGAAGAATAGACAGATCGATGCCTTTCTGAAGGGCACTGGTGCGAAAAGTGAATGCAACAGTCTAGCACATAATTTGAACGATTATAATCACCTATAATCGACACTCGCACGTGGTAATTTCCGGGAAAGTAACAATCATTATACCTTGGGACGGATAGCGAGAAGATGAAAGCTGTTTCTCGATAATATAAATAAATTATGGAAAATATCGATTGTTAATTAACAAAAATAATTTTTTGCATTTGTTTGTAATTTTTTTTATTTCAAGAATCACAACAAGTAAGCTACTTGAATAATAATTGGACACATTTTACTTAGAGCTACAAAGGGTAGGAAATCGTGAAGCGCCATAATCATCCACTTAAAGGACAGAGGGAATCACCGAGTAACTTATCTAATGAGCTTATGTAAATGGGTAAACAATCAGGAAGTGGGCGGGATAGTAATGGGACACACTTTATTTAGGATTACATAGGATAGGAAATTGTGGAGAGCCATTATTAGCCACTCCCTGAAGAGACAGAGGAAAACGTCGAGCAATCTACCTAACGAGCTTATGAAAACGGATATGCGAACAGGGACTGGGAAGGATAGTAATGGGACTCACTTTATTTCGAACTACAACGCATTGGAAAGTGGGGAGAGCCATGATTGTCCACGTCCTGAAGGGACACGGAAGAAGACAGTTGTGTCAGATGCGTTTCGATACTCTCGCCAAAAAGAAACAAATAAAAGAAACAAGCCCAAAATAAGAGAAAATAAGCTGGAATATTTTCGATTACTTACGTCGTAGCAATATTGCAATTTCTGCACAATTGTTGAAAAAGAAGGCCTCGTATCAGGGTTCGTGTCCCATGTACATGTCATTATGTGGTATCTGAAATTACAAGGGGAGAGAAAAAGAGAAAGAAAGAATGAGATGATGACAGAAGCGAAAAAAAAAAAAACGGAAAGAGAGACAGGGTGATAGTCGTAAATCGATAAGCAACGAATATTTACGATCTGAATAGACCTTCATTAAAGCTCACCGCTGGCTTATAATCCTAAGAAAAAAATACGAAAAGGCCTTGAAAAGTTATCAGCCTGACTATGAAGAATATTCTGCATCCATGAGACGTGTATGTTATTCTAAATATCTACCCGTAGTTCAGCACACGTGGCAAATCATTTCACCAATTTCATTAATCTTATCCCGTTCCAAAGGTTTTTGCTGTCAGATCATTAATTTTTGGAAAGTGGATTGAGCTGAGAACTTTTCAGCACCATTTCGCTTATTATCATAAAAAACCCATATTCGCAAAAACATTCAGACACCTGTTTACTTATTTAAACCTATGCACATATAATACTTTTCTACAGACGAAATAGTAATGTTGATGACAATAATAATTTTAGCAGCATCCCCACCATTACTACCGCACCACAATTACCATTCCCGCATTAGTCCACAATTATACTTCCTCCCCCACCCCAGAAAAATTAATACCACCGCATAAATACGGTATATAAGTATTATAAATTAGAGTTCCTATCATTTACATAAATAATTACAAAACAGCATTAAAAAAATAAAAATAATAACAATTTTACCTGCCATAATCTTACACAGACCCCATCTTAAGATAAAAAAAAAAAACAGACGGATAGAAATTGTGTGAACGTGCGTGCATACGTATATATGCGTGTGCGGGAAAACATTATTCCGCGAACAAAATAAACGAACAGTCTGTGCGATGACACTGCGACTTGCGAAAGAAGTTCGCTACACAATCCAACATTGAATACAGCGAGCAGTTGCGTATGTATGCACGCAACGACACATGGATACGCATATACGCCCAGTCCCATACTGTTCATATATGTTTATGTTTGTGTGAGCTGCAATGCATAAACGTGCGTGTATGTAAGTCTACGTACGTATGAGTGGCGTTCCGACGACAATTTTTCCTCCCACTACCATAAAAACACCGATATAGACAACCATAAATAAATCCAAAATTTAAAAATTAATCAGTTTGTCTGACGATCGCAGAGAGCGTGAAACCCAGGGTCCCAAACTCACATCAATCCAACTAAATATATTAGGTCTATCACTGATCTCGAGCGCTTTCCAATAATTACTGCGCATGTATAATATATAAATAATATATATATATATAATGAATATATATATATATATATATATATATATATATATATATATATATATATATATATATATATGTACAGGTATACCTCAGGTTACGTTGTTTCCAGTTAAGTCATTCTCGATTATAAGTCGTTTGTAAAAAAAAAAAATATATATGGAAAAATAAAAATTAAGTTTAAGTCATTTTATTCGACTTCACGTCTGTCCGTCACAAATATTGAAGTCGTAATATCCCTAGAAAAGTCTTAAAAGCATATAAAATCATGTTACTGTACAATAAATCAGAACAAAAGTATATAAAATCATATTAAAATACGTACATTTACAGTAAATGTAAATATAATCATCATAAATCACAGACAACGAAATTTGAAAACATATGTGTTGTCTAATTTAGCGATCTTTAAGAGCTCAATATTGGCGTTTTCCACGGTAGTTCCGATATCTACCGTTTGGCGTCGTTGTCAGAGCCACTCGTGGTTCCCGGGAAATTGAAATCCAGTTTAGTTTAGGCATACGCATGATATACGTTGCTTATCGCCTACTCTCTCATTCTAAGTTATTTGTGACTTTATATTTTGCGCTAATGGCCGCTAAAAAGCTTCCTAGTGCAAATACTAAGCGTCATGCTATAACGCTAGACGATAAACTTACTATGATAAAACGCCATGAAAAAGATGAAAAGGTTATATCGATTGCTCGATCTTTTGGAATGAGTCAGACAACTGTATCGACGATTGTTCACAGTAAGGATAAGATTTTGGCACATATCAAATCTGATGCCCCAGGGATGAAGAATACTGTTATTAATAAGAAAAAAAGAGGAAAAATCTCTGAAGAGATGGAACAACTTCTTTTTCTTTGGATTGATAGTTTGAATCATCAGCGTGCTGCTATTAGTCAAGAAATTATTCAAGCGAAAGTATTGTCTGAGGACGTGAACAAAAAAAAAATGCACAGATGCGAAAGATGTAGATTTTAAAGCGAGTCAAAGCAGGTTTATGAGATTTAAAGAACGAAGAAGTTATCACTCTATTAAGAAGCAAGGTAAAAGTGCATCAGCTGACGAACAAGCAGCAGTCGATTTTCCTAAAATATTGCCTAAGATCCTCGAAGAAAACGGGTTTCTTCCTGGACAGATTTTTAATGTTGACGAAATTGGATTATATTGGAAAAAATTGCCAGACCGTTCCATTATTGCTAATGCTAAGCGTAAAGCCATATTGCTGGCAAATTATTTTATTCAGAATACTATACGTACATATAATAAATGCTATAATATGCAACGGGGAGTGCTTATTTGCAGTTTATAGTGTGGTTATTTCGACTTTAGTCGTTTTTCGACATAGGTCATGACCGCTGGAACCAATTAGCGTCGTAGGGTATACCTGTGTATATATATATATATATATATATATATATATATATATATGTGTGTGTGGGGGGTGTGAGCGGGTCCATATATATGTACGTAAATATAAAGGGTGTTCCAATAACTTAGACCGATTTTAAATGTGAATTAAGTTTAAGCGTCTAATGATGTTTTACTTTTACTTTCAGATTTGGCGAACATTTGGGCGATATTATTTTTCAAACATAATTGCCATGATTTAAATAACATGGTCCAATAGAAAAATAAATAAATTTTCACCAATAACACTGATTTAATTACTGCTGACTTTGTTCCGTTTTAATGAAACACCCTAATATATAACCCGTCTTAATGAAATAACATTTATATATAAACTTTGACTGATTTGTCGGCAGGGCCGAGAATACATTGGCTGCATCATTTGAAAGAGTAACTAACCCTAAAATGAGACACTACTCAAGTGGACGCTTGCAGATTCAAATATCAAGCAGACCATGTTTACTACAGAATCAAAAATAAATCCGACCAATATTTACTTATAGAATAAAATATAAACCTGTCCAATATTTATTTAAAGCCTCGAGTATAAAACCATCCCAGGTTTACCTATAGACACAATATCTACATGTAGAATCAAATATAATAATAATAATAATAATAAACGAATTTCGACATTAAATAATCGGAAAAGTGTTGGTATATCTTAAAATCAACTAAAGTTAGCCAACTTAGCTTTTACGAACTAATTTTTTGTTGATAATTCATAAGGCAGCAGTTCGTAAAATGAGGTATAATTATCCATAGAAAACATCTTGTAAAATAAGGTTATGTTCTGAAATCGAAACAATTATGTATGAATTCTTTTAATTGCTATATAATTAAAAACTAGAAATCAATAGTGAAGCAATTATTTTAATGAGGAAGGAAATAAAGTCCATGTAGAAAATTAGGGAAAAATGCATAAAATAACATTGTTTTAATCACTTTACATCAATCTTCGATGCTGATGTTGACATATTCTCTTCTTTCTTGTGATAGTTGTCGCTTGCTTCTTTTTAATACGGGACTCGAGTGCTAATTGCTTTGATGAATCCTTTCTTCTTTCTGCGATGGACTTGATGATAGCAAGTGGGAGCTTTCATTAAATATGAAACAGCTTTTATCATTCTATCTTAATTTCGATTTTCGCTTTCAGTATGTTTAAACGTTTATAGAGTTTTTTTTTATATTTAAACACGTGTAAGATAAATGGTCTCAGTATTATTTTTCGTGTTTATATTTCGTCTTTATTTTTTGTAATTATTTCACCCCAAGCAAGGCGATAGGGCCACTCAGACGCAACGTTATTACTGAGTGAAAGAAGATGAGAAGACTGTAGTGTGGAAAAAGAACAATAAAAGAACATGATTTAGGAAGACAGATGATGGCGATGGATGGTGCATTTAAACTTTTGAAGATTGTAGCTGACAGGGAAACAAGAAACCGGAAGAAATTTCTATTTTATTTAAGTTTTACTTTTTATTTTTCAGGGATTTTTTTCATCGTATTCAGCAGAATGTATTCAGATTACCATTTAAGAGTCCTTGTGATCATATTATATAAAGTCTAAGCAGCCTTCCCTTTGTTGTTAATATTTTAGATTCACCACTTTACGGTCAGTAATTTATTTTTCTTATCTTTGTCATGCCTCCAATTTTGTTTCATATATTTTTGCATATATTTGAAAATGTCCTGTTTTTAAAACCCTAAGGAAATTTTGTACCCGCCCCCAGTAGATTATTTAGGTTTTTATTTGTAACTGTCGGGCGGCATTTTATTTGTAACTATCGGGCGGCATTTAAGCTAGCTCATGCAGAAGAATTTTGATTCGGCCTTCATCACAATATGTAGGGACGAGTAAATGCGATAGACAACAATAAACTACAGAAGAATTCAAAATTGATCGCTGCATTTAAGTATTGCTTACCTTTTAAAAGTTCAATGATTATACTTCTGGCACCTCTTAAAGACAATTTGATATAATTAGGTTTTACTTTCCGTACAAACAATTATTTTTATTTTACGGGTGGCTTTCGCTGGATTTCGCAATTAATTTCAATTATTCCCCAAATATAAAAATTGCTAAAAAAAATAAAATAAAAATTGTCACAAAAAAAGTAAAATAATCGCAGTAATGAAAACTTGGGAATCCATAATTTCAGGATTGCGGGTTCGAATCCGACCCGGAATGTTTTTAATTTGCTCACAGAAGTCAACCTGATTCCAAAATGGTATATGTTGGGCTACAGCCTCTAGGAGCAAAGTTGAAAAAGTTTGACACAGTGACATTCGCATTTATTATAGTGA